GGCGGGGCCCGGGGGGGGGGGGCCCCGCCGAGGCCCCCGTTCTGCGCCTGTGAAAGGGCGGGGGAGCGGAGCTGCTACCGTGAGGAAGCAGGAGGCATGGGAGCTTTTCCTTTCCTAGCTGGCCTGAGGTTCAGGAGCCTCTGTCTGTCCTCTAGCCTGTCGTCTGGAGGCGCCATGATACCTGCAGCCAGGGTGATGTGGTCTCAGCCGCTGTCTCCGCAGTTTGAGCTCTGACTCTTCTAGTACCGCTACCTGTATGTCCCCCTTCCCCTCAGTGGTGTAAGGGGTCTTAGACTGGGTCCAACTGGCCCCTATCAAAGGGCACCAAGCCCTGTTGGCTAGGGCTGATGCTAAGCAAACAGGATATTGTGTATTTTGTTAGTAAATGCCTTTCCCAAGTGCACGGACATGTTCTTAACATGAACAGCAGAGGTCCTAACATGCTTTCTTGGCAGAAGGGTGGCCTGAAATTAGAATTGAGATGTAAGCAAGCCCCTTTTGAAGATGGGAAAGGTAATGTTATGCAGTGTTTGGAGAGTGGTGTGAAGATGTCAGGAGCTAGTCACATTTTTCACTGTTGCTTTTACTCACTTGGGAGATGGATCTCTTCTTATCTTTTCTTTTTATATTCAGAATAGGGGAGGGGAGAGACAAGGAAACCTTTATCTACTGTTCATTATAAGTCACCTGTGTAGTGCCCTGTTGCATTTTGGCAAACACCTGTGCAGCGTCCTGTTGGCATCACTGAAGCCCAACATCAGAATCATACCTGTAGTACATTTTACACACCCACTCCCAGTCATGAATTCTGAGGGCAGAATAGAGTCAGTTATCTTCATAAGCTAATTATCTTCATGAGTTAAAGATGGATTGGATTTTCACATGAAGTTTTTGTCTGGTTTTATGGACCATTTTAACCTTGCTTTTGGCTGCACGTTCTCTATAGGAAGCCTCATTGTCTCTTTTGAATGCAAAGGAGTTCCTTGAGTTTGATCATTATCATGCAGCTTGCTCAATATAAGTGTGTCTGTATGTTTTAGTGACCTCCTGGGAACAGAACTCCTCCACTGGAAGTACAGGTTCAATTATAATTCCTTCCTGGCAGGACTTCCTGCAGCATTGCCATCAGCTTGTGTGGAAGGGAGGATAGCATGCTCCCTTTACTGGCTTCGGCAACTGGAAAAACTTCTGGTTTTACATCCTTAGTGCTGTTCTCCCATCTCTGCTCAGCATATTCATCCCATCTGACTTTAATTTTTTTCAGAGCAACTTCTCAGCCTGAGCCTGAGAAGCGTCCCGTTTCTTGACTGGCTAGTACCAGCATTTTTCAGGGGGCTGCAAGACTCACAGTTGCTGTTTCTAGGAATGGCATGTTCTAGGCCCTTTATACAAGGGTGAGATTTTGCCCTGAAGCAAGATGAGTTTCAACTTCTTTAAAACTCTCACTACCCAGAAGTCTAGCAGCTCCCTAATTCCTGTTCTGCCAGTCTTTCCACCAAAGAATTTGGCTCCAGCATGGAGGCATGGGCGAGGCAGGAAGGCCCCAGGAGTACCCCAATCTCAGACCAATACTGTCCCTTGTGACTTAATGAGGAACTACATTTTCTCCGCTGCATTGACGGGCAGCTTGGAGTGACAGGTGAGCAAAATGATGCCAATGCAGGGCAGCTTCTCCAATATTTCAGAGGTCCTCTTAATTTACCTAACATCAAATCTCAACAATGTGGGAGGATAGGAAATATGGGGTTATTTGGTAACCCCAGGAAAAGCCAAACCTGGATAAAACCTATAAATGAAAACAGAAGAATGTGCAAGACAGGCACAGCAGAGAAATTAGATTAATGTTTCTATTGCATGTGGAGCATGCCAATGTCAGAGGCTGTTCCAACCTGAGTCTGCAAGGACCACAGCGCTCTTGGATATGCACAGGCCGCTTTCCAACCCCAGTCTGCTCATGCAGGGTATATCTGCACCTGCAGCACTCCTAGTCCCTGCTGTGAGTCGTTTTCACATGGCTTTTTGGAGGAACCAGGCTTCATCTTTTCAGAGCTTTGACTGGAGTTATGAGTTCTGGTTGGTTGGTTTCTGGCATATTTTTTTTACCGAATGTAGGGATGGAAGGGTAGTGGTGAAAGACAACTTTCTTAAAACTTCTCCGAAATAACAAATCCTAAAATGTTACGATCTGAACTGAACATCTGCTTCTGCTTGGCTCTGCATCTCTTGAAATAGAAGTACCAACTGCAATTTGTTTCAACTTAGAGAATGAGTAATAAAGAGATTCTTATCTCCACTGAGACCAAACGAAGAGCTGGCATTTGATACATGTATATTATTGCACACAAGTAATTTATTTGTGCTAAGTGTGCACACTCCTAATCATATTAATTTAATTAAATAATGAAGTTAAGTAGCAACTGCTCTGGAATTCACAAGACATTTGTTTCCTCTCATGCTTCTGGTTTCCATGTGTAATAAGTGTTGCAGTACAGGCAGTGCATTTCAAATTTAGATAAAGAAGAAAAAGTAGCAAGTGACATACAGAGCAAAGAACTTTCTGGATTAATAATACTCAAGCAGTGCTGCCATATCTAACTTCACAGTTATCCTACAAGAAAAGAAGTCCAATATTTTTATTATTGATCAGCTCTTCACATTGAAATATCCACAACAAAGCTGGGAAGGAGGAAAATCCTTCAGGTTATTATGGCTTTGGGCTAGGCAAAAGATCACAAACATTCAGCACACTAAGAACTGCCATCACAAAACAGAGAAATGTTCTGTTTCTTGATATGCTTCTTTCTTAGTGACTAATGTCAGCTAGTTCAGAAAGGGTGTGTAGCATCTATAATGCATTTGGTTTCCTCCTGTTTGTGCATATTGCATCATATTCAGGTAATGATTACAGATCAGTTTGTTACCCACAGACTATCAAAATTCTGAGTATTTTCCTTTTTGTGTACGTGTATGACTAATCACGGGATTACTAGGAAGATCTGATTTTTCTACTTTCCAGAATGACATCTTCCAGCAACAAGTTTGTTCTTGAGTAAGGTGAAGTGCTCATACTGTGATCATCATAGAATACCAGGTTGGAAGGGACCTCAAGGATCATCTGGTCCAACTTTTCTTGGCAAAAGCACGGTCTAGACAAGATGGCCCAACAGCCTGTCCAGCTGAATCTTAAAAGTGTCCAATGTTGGGGAATCCACCACTTCCCTGGGGAGATTATTCCAATGGCTGATTGTTCTTATTGTGAAAAATTTTCCATTTGGTCCAATCAGAATCTCCTCAGGAGTAACTTGTACCCATTACCCCTCCCTCGTCTTTTCCATGTGACTCCTTGTAAAAAGGGAGTCTCCATCTTCTTTGTAGCCACCCTTCAAACACTGGAACGTGTTGATAAGGTGTCCCCTAAGCCTTCTTTTCTCAAGGCTGAACAAACCCAGTTCTCTCAGCCTTTCCTCATATGGCAGGCTTCTCAGTCCTTTGATGATCTTTGTGGCCCTTCTCTGGACTCTCTCCAGCCTGTCCACACCTTTTTTGTATAGCGGGGACCAACGCTGAACACAGTATTCCAGGTATGGCCTGACAAGCACTGACTAGAGTGGGATAATGACTTCTTTACCTCTGCTGGTGATGCCCTTGTTGACGCAACGCAGGATCCTGTTGGCTTTCTTTGCTGCAGCAGCATACTGTTCACTCATATTGATCTTGTTGTCCACAAGGACCCCCAGGTCCCTTTCCACAGGGCTGCTCCCCAGCCAGATAGATCCCAGCCTGTGCTGCATTCCTGGATTACGTTTTCCCAGGTGCAAGATCTTACGCTTGTCCTTGTTGGACTTACTATTCAGGTCTTCCTGCAAGGTGGCCCTCCCTTCCAAAGTGTCCACTTCCCCTCTCAGTTTGGTATCATCAGCAAACTTCATCAGGGTACACTTGACCCCATCATTCATCCCATCATGTTTTGGTTATTTAAGTCCAACCAATTTGTCCCATGTTTTCATGCTGCAGGAAAAGAGAAACAGGTAATATTCCTCTTGAATTTTACTCTTGTGATGTTATCTTTCCCTCCAAGAACCAGCATGGTTCAATCATCTTTATTTTTCTTGTATTGCATGGGCTATTCAAAGTCAGATTTTG